TGGTTTGCTTCTGATGTGTAGGTATGAATCACGACGATACATATGTTTATTGGGCTTTTGAATCGAATAGTATTCCTCGCGGCTACCATGCTTACAACATCCGACGTGCACTAAATATGTTCTTAAATGGCATCAGATTTCATGGTAGAAGAGCTTGTTTAGGAGTTGTAGCGGACGTGGAGGCTTCGCGTATTGGACAAGAAGTGTATGATGAACTATGAGAGAATGGAGTTTGAATCCACTCCGTGGAAATTAGAGGGAAAAATAAACAAGTTTCTGATAATTTCATCAAAACAGAATTTGTAAAATTGTGGTTCTACTTCATTGCTACTAAAAGTAAAGCAGTGGTGGTTTTATTGACTTCGGACAAGGCCTTCATCCCATGCCTAAAAGCTTTTAATAATTGTGGGTTCGTCCTAAAAGCATATATGCAAACCAAAACCAAATAATCGAAGAGCAAACAAGAGTACGAACAAATAATTAGAGTTTATTAAGAACATGATTAAGTATCTCCTCTTTACTCTCACACTCTGTAGAACAACATGAGTTTCGAGTAGATTAGAGAAATCATGTTAAGAGTGTTTCGAGACCACTGACACGTCTTCATCTTGTTTTTCTGGTACCACCTACATAAAGGTCAAAAACGTGAAAAATATAGGAATGTTACAGAAATTAAAAGTACTTTTGATCCAAAATCAATCATAGCATCATAACTCAAAAATGTTATATATTGTTTCTTTTCACTTTCCATGTTTTACCTTGAAGCAAGCTGCCTAGGCTAAAGCAAATATACTTAGGCCAGCGTAGATTTATTGACAAATGTTGGAGTCTAAATAGTGTTTATGTAATTTATAAATAAATAAATAAAAACCTTATCACTAGTAGACTAATCAAATCCGCCACAAATCATTTTAAGTAAATTGCGAAGATTTAAGGTTTGTTATTTTTGCATAGTTTTTCTACTGTTAAATGAACATGAGTCTTCCTTAGAAAGTTATGAAATAAAATTTAAGAAAGTGAATGAATTCATATATATTTAGTTGAATTGTCAAATCTGGACCTAAAAACTATCAATAAGTGTTTAATTTTGTTTATGCATTGATGTCCACATAAGTGAATGATAAAAATTTTGGAAGAATTTTCNCAATCATCTTTCTTTTGAGACATTCAAATTGACAGTGGCATACAAATAAGAATGTGAATGAATTAGCTTTTGAAACACTCTATAATTGGCAATGAATTATAGTGAACTATGCCCATGTATCAGATTTTCTCTTTGAAGAAGTACTTGTTGTCGAGGTTGATGCGTCTAGATTTGGGTGAGAAGCAATATGCCCATGCATAATTTTACGTGT